CGCGGCCGGGGACGTGCAGCGCGCCAAGCAGCTCTTCGATCGCATCCCTGCAAAGAATTCCATCACCTGGAACGCGATGATCGAGATGTACTCGCCGAGTGGCAATCTCGGCGAGGCGGAGGCGGTATTCCACTCCATGCCGGAGCAAACCCCCGTTTCTAGCACGGCCATGGCCCATAACGGGCATCTCTCACGCGCCGTGGACGGCCATGATCCAAGGCCACTGCCAGAACCAGCGGCTGGATGAAGCTAAAGATCTCTTTGATAGAATGCCCTAGTAACATGGACGACCATGATCACCAGGCCGGGCATATGGAGCAAGCAAAGAATCTCTTTGAAGATGCCCCGGATCTTAATGAGTGGCATTTACGGCTATGATCGACGGCTATGCACCTCATGGCTGCTTGGAGGAGGCTAAATGTTTGCTTGAGAGGCACGTGGTGGCTTGGAACTCCATGCTTGGCGCATATGCCTCGAATGGGCATTTGGACGAGGCACTAGATTCCTTCCTAAAGATGGCTCATCTCTTGGGCAACAATGATCCATATGCTCACCTCTAGAAACCATCTTGAAAATGCAAAGTTTATTTACGATCGAATGCCTTACAAGAGCAAGATGGCGCGCAAAGTGCTCCTCTCGGCCTATCTCTGGAATTGGCCACCTCCAAGAAGCAATGAGCCTCTTCCGGGCACCAAACTCGAGTTTCCAAGAGGAGTCCCTTGTGAGCGAAATCCGGCACCATTGCCATCCAGACGATTGCATCGCGCTCCTTGCTCACGAGAGAATGCCAGAGCAAAACTTAATCTCACACACACAAAATGTTAAGAGTTAAATTCCAAGACTGATGTAAAACACTTACCGAGGTGACAACACATGACTTGCTCCAGTATCGAGATAGGACTTCACGTTCCCCAAGTTCATACCACCACGGATCTGCAAGCCACTTGAAATGTAGCAGAAAACAGTGCTTCTCAAAATCTAGAAATTGTATACGCTTCCACTGCTGCGAGCGCTGCCTTCAGGGTCAATGAACGTGTCCTCCGACTCGAAATTCACAACCAGCGAAGACTGTGACAAATCCAGCAGAGTGGACCCGGCGAGCAAGATCATCCACTTCTTGACCACTTTATTTTCTTGAAGTTTCTTACTGTTTTGAGTACACTCGGGCAGGATCTGTACTGTAAAGGAAGGCTAAGATCCACAGAGAAAACGTCATGGAAAACACACAGAGAGTTATACTATTGAGCACTGTAGTTTGCTGATGGATCGCCATGGTCGTCGCTGGTGTGGACACAGAAACTATCGAGATTTTGGAGAAAGAACTAAACAAAACTGCAGCGGCAAAAGCCGCAGTGATGACCAGGCATGAGAGGAGCGATGCAAGCACAAGCTTTCGAGTAGGAGCCATAATTTCTGGAGAGCCAAGAGAAAAGAGAATAGATTGAGCAAACAAAGCGGGCAATCTCCCATAGATAAAGATCCAAGAGCACGAACTCACACAAAAGCTCGAACAAACTTTTACTCCAGAGGCAGTAGTAGCACATTAACGTTGATAACCATGGTTTAACAACCATGGTTGGAATGATCTACAATGAAACACACGTTCTCAATGCTCAAGTCAGAATAGATATCAGCAAAAGACGAACTTCTTGAAAAGGAAATTTGGAGCTGTTGGATTCTTTCTCAGCCGGCAAACTTCCGCCTTCAGTGACTCAAATCCGCTTTACATCCATGCTGGAGGTCAGAACCAAAGCTACTGAACTCTCTCTGCGTTCCAGAATATGCAATTGAACAAATCTTCAGTTATGTCAAGGTTCGTTCCCAGTAAGTTCAGTTCACTAGTACTGCGCGTACTCCTCTCAAACTGTGGATTGCCATTTAAGTGGGACAACGCTCCCACCTCCAAAACCAGCGAGCCTGAGAGAAAAAATCCATGAAATTTTCTACGGCCAGAATTATGGTATATTTAGTAAAGTGTATTTAATTTGATTTATAAAGATCCTTTACAATTAGGGCTTGCGTTCTTTCTTTCTTTTTTATCACAGCGATGAAGAGGGCGAGAGAATATGGCGATTGGAGTTTTGCAACGCTCGACATGGTGACCAAAGTAAAGAACAAAAAGGTAAAGGTGACACACAGTTCTCCACTACTACCGCCAGCTTTGGAGGAGAAACCGACGCTTGTGTTAGACATGGACGAGACACTAATCCATGCCCACAAGGCTATAGCGTCCCTCAAGCTCTTCAGTGGGAAGACTCTTCCATTGCAGCGCTACCTTGTCGCAAAGCGGCCAGGTGTGGATACATTTCTAAATGAGATGAGTGAGATATACGAGATTGTGGTTTTTACTCGAGCGGTGAAGCCTTATGCGGACAGGATATTGGATAGGCTCGACCCAGCTGGGAATCTCTTCACCCATCGCCTCTACAGAGATTCATGCTCGCCCAAGGAAGTGGGAGGGAGAAAGGTTGTGAAAGATCTTTCGAGATTAGGGCGGGACCTCAGACACACGGTGATCGTGGACGACAAGCCAGAGTCCTTTTGCTTGCAGCCCAGCAATGGAATTGTCATCCGTGCATTCAAAAACAGGAAAGGGCATAAATATGATGAATTGAAGAAAATAAGCAATCTGCTTAAGGAAATTGCAAGAGCTGAAGATGTAAGACAAGCGTTGGAGAAGCTTAAAAGTTAGACAAAAGATCTTGTAAAAGGAAACTCATGTATCCACTGTGTATGCTGTAACAACTGCTCACTCTAAATTGATTGTGGCACTGTCTCCCTCACAAAAACAAATGTCCAATTTAGCTTTGGAAACAATGTTATGGCAAATCATAATCAGAAAGACATCTCGAGTTTCAGTCTGATTCATTACTTGAGAGTCAATCGATAATTGTGATGCTTAAGCAGCGTCATCCTCTCTGTCCTGAAACGCAACGTAGAGCCTCCCAAAATCCCATGGCTCGATCACCTGGCCTATCCTTTTAGTGTGGCTTGACAAGAGTGGTATATAGTTTAGATACGATCTCATTATGCTCACTGTTTTGTTGTCCATCCCCACCTACAAATCAAACATGGACGAGAGTGGTATATAGCTTGGATACGATCTCATTATGCTCACTGTTTTGTTGTCCATCCCCACCTACAAATCAAACACGGAGTGAGGAAAACAAAACGAAAACAAAGTTTGTAAACGACAGAAGTTTATACCTGTAAGATATCTCCAGTGAATAAAACACCCCTCCCTTGAGCTCCATGAGACCAGTGGAGGATAGCAAAATGGCTAAAAGCGTGAGTCCCTCCCATAGTAGAACTTACCCTTTTCGTGCTGGTAAACCACTCTGCAAAAGTATGGATACAGAGAGATCGAAACGAAAGAGAGAAACAAAGGTAGACAATACCATTCGTGGGTATAAACCGGGACGCCTCCAAAAGCCTCGCTCCATCGAGAGTTTGTGCTGTAGTAATGCGGGTGAGAGATGGCAATCGCTCTCAATCCACCTAGTGACTTGGTTATCTCCACTGTGGCATCGTCTAGAAATGAGATGCAGTCCCACAGTATGTTTCCCTCTATCAAAAACATAAAAACCATAAAAAATGCGCAACGGCCATAGCTCCAAACATACATACCTTGAGTCTGGATGAGAAACGCACGCTGTCCAATGCCAAACTTTGGAAAGGTTATGATCTCGAAGACCTGCGGCTCATGCTTCTTGAAACCATTGCGAAACTGCAATCTCATCTTGCTCATGGACGTCCATACCTGACCTTCCCTAAAACTAAAAGTCAAGAAAACTCGAGACCTCCAGGATTTCTGAGAAAACATCCCACCAGACGTGTGCCTCCATAACTTTGAAATCCAAGAGTGTTAACAGGGACTCTCGTGGTGTCTTTGTAGAAAGCAATAACGCCGTGCATTGCTTAGAAACCTTAAGAGATGACCAAGATCTCAGTAAAAGGACAAACTTGTTAAAAGTCGAGGAGAAAGGTTGACAGACCTTGAGATCCTCTGGAGATATCATCAGCTGCTGGATGTGGTGGAGGCGGAGCAGAACCTCAGGTCAGACCCTGCTTATCCTGCTTACTATCACTCGCATGGCCAAGCCTCCTGTTTGAGCGGTGTTGGACGCTCCATTGAAGCAAGCGCATATAACACGGTTAAACACGTTTCTTACTGGAAAGCCATCGGTATAGAGCAGCTGACGACTATCAGCTAGAACGCAGCGTATTTGGAGGGTTCCAGTCTGTATGGCCACCTATTTTTCACTCGTTTAGTTCTCTCCAAAATATACATGAGTTTTCTTGTACCTGTAGATGGACTTAGGACAGACGTCCGAGATGTAGATCGTATAGTAGATGTGCATTTCATGTAGACGATGTTTCCATAAGTATGGATAGTGCTGTCCTTTTGGAAAGTGCTGGCTTGTCCGATCATCACAACCGTGTCAACATAATCGAAAACTCACAACTGGAAAAGAAGAAACAAGAAGAGAGCAAACGGAATAAGAGCTTACCGGATAGGATGGATCTTGCACTGCCGCTGAGACGCTCAACCCAAACGTAAGCTGCGCCAAGACACTAGGAGATGATATCCTTTTGATCCATCGCCCGGAAAACCAGCCTGCTCTCTTCCACTTGTGTCCAGGAAGTTAATTGTGTCGTTGACGAGCGCGCCCGGCATTTGGAGTGCAGCTGAGCGATGGGGGATGAGTTCTCGCCGCGTGCCATGAAAAACATCGTGGCTGGACCATGGAAGCTAGAACCTGCCAGGACTTGAACCTCGGACGTCCCCATCATCCAACGGCCATGATGCGATGCGCATAAGAGCTTGCCGCCCTCGTCACATCTTGCGACAATGGCCGCCGGATCCATCGCCCAGATCCTTCACAGCGACCACAAGAACAGCGTCTTCCTGCGAAATCTCCTCGTCCAGATGTATGGCCGCTGCGGCTGCCTGGAGGAAGCGCGATCGGTCTTCGATTCTACCTCGGATCCCAATCTCTTCTCTTGGAATCTCACCCTCCAGGCCTACATTCGCAACCACGACCTGAAGCAGGCGCGATCGGTCCTGGAAAGCATACCGCGGCAACGCCCATACGCCGCGGCCGGGGACGTGCAGCGCGCCAAGCAGCTCTTCGATCGCATCCCTGCAAAGAATTCCATCACCTGGAACGCGATGATCCAGATGTACTCGCCGAGTGGCAATCTCGGCGAGGCGGAGGCGGTATTCCACTCCATGCCGGAGCAAACCCTGGTTTCTAGCACGGCCATGATCGTGCCATATGCCCATAACGGGCATCTCTCACGCGCCGTGGACGGCCATGATCCAAGGCCACTGCCAGAACCGGCGGCTGGATGAAGCCAAAGATCTCTTTGAACGCCGGGCATATGGAGCAAGCAAAGAATCTCTTTGAAGATGCCCCGGATCTTAATGAGGTGGCGTTTACGGCTATGATCGACGGCTATGCACCTCATGGCTGCTTGGAGGAGGCTAAATGTTTGTTTGAGAGGCACGTGGTGGCTTGGAACTCCATGCTTGCCGCATATGCCTCGAATGGGCATTTGGACGAGGCACTAGATTCCTTCCTAAAGATGGCTCATCTCTTGGGCAACAATGATCCATATGCTCACCTCTAGAAACCATCTTGAAAATGCAAAGTTTATTTACGATCGAATGCCTTACAAGAGCAAGATGGCGCGCACAGTGCTCCTCTCGGCCTATCTCTGGAATTGGCCACCTCCAAGAAGCGATGAGCCTCTTCCGGGCACCAAACTCAAGTTTCCAAGAGGAGTCCCTTGTGAGCAAAAGCTGGCACCATTGCCATCCAGACGATTGCATCGCGCTCCTTGCTCACGAGAGAATGCCAGAGCAAGACTTAGTCTCACACACACAATGTTAAGAGTTAAATTCCAAGACTGATGTAAAACACTTACCGAGGTGACAACACATGACTCGCCCCAGTATCGAGATAGGACTTCACGTTCCCCAAGTTCATACCACCACGGATCTGCAAGCCACTTGAAATGTAGCAGAAAACAGTGCTTCTCAAAATCTAGAAATTGTATACGCTTCCACTGCTGCGAGCGCTGCCTTCAGGGTCAATGAACGTGTCCTCCGACTCGAAATTCACAACCAGCGAAGACTGTGACAAATCCAGCAGAGTGGACCCGGCGAGCAAGATCATCCACTTCTTGACCACTTTATTTTCTCGAGTCAAGCTTAACTTCAAAGAACAAAACATGGCCTAGCCGTGTAAAGGAAGGCTAAGATCCACAGAAAAAACGTCATGGAAAACACACAGAGAGTTATACTATTGAGCACTGTAGTTTGCTGATGGATCGCCATGGTCGTCGCTGGTGTGGACACAGAAACTATCGAGATTTTGGAGAGAGAACTAAACAAAACTGCAGCAGCAAAAGCCGCAGCGATGACCAGGCATGAGAGGAGCGATGCAAGCACAAGCTTTCGAGTAGGAGCCATAATTTCTGGAGAGCCAAGAGAAAAGAGAATAGATTGAGCAAACAAAGGGGGCAATCTCCCATAGATAAAGATCCAAGAGCACGAACTCACACAAAAGCTCGCACAAACTTTTACTCCAGTGGCAGTAGTAGCACCTTAACGTTGATAACCATGGTTTCACCACCATGGTTGGAATGATCTACAATGAAACACACGTTCTCAATGCTCAAGTCAGAATCGAAAGACGAACATCTTGAGGCGAGTTTAGATTGGAGCTAAAGGAAATTTGGAGCTGTTGGATTCTTTCTCAGCCGGCAAACTTCCGCCTTCAGTGACTCAAATCCGCTTTACATCCATGCTGGAGGTCAGAACCAAAGCTACTGAACTCTCTCTGCGTTCCAGAATATGCAATCGAACAAATCTTCAGTTATGTCAAGGTTCGTTCCCAGTAAGTTCAGTTCACTAGTACTGCGCGTACTCCTCTCAAACTGTGGATTGCCATTTAAGCGGGACAACGCTCCCACCTCCAAAACCAGCGAGCCTGAGAGAAAAAATCCATGAAATTTTCTACGGCCAGAATTATGGTATATTTAGTAAAGTGTATTTAATTTGATTTATAAAGATCCTTTACAATTAGGGCTTGCGTTCTTTCTTTCTTTTTTATCACAGCGATGAAGAGGGCGAGAGAATATGGCGATTGGAGTTTTGCAACTCTCGACATGGTGACCAAAGTAAAGAACAAAAAGGTAAAGGTGACACACAGTTCTCCACTACTACCGCCAGCTTTGGAGGAGAAACCGACGCTTGTGTTAGACATGGACGAGACACTAATCCATGCCCACAAGGCTACAGCGTCCCTCAAGCTCTTCAGTGGGAAGACTCTTCCATTGCAGCGTTACCTTGTCGCAAAGCGGCCGGGTGTGGATACATTTCTAAATGAGATGAGTGAGATATATGAGATCGTGGTTTTTACTCGAGCGGTGAAGCCTTATGCAGACAGGATATTGGATAGGCTCGACCCAGCTGGGAATCTCTTCACCCATCGCCTCTACAGAGATTCATGCTCGCCCAAGGAAGTGGGAGGGAGAAAGGTTGTGAAAGATCTTTCAAGATTAGGGCGGGACCTGAGACACACGGTGATCGTGGACGACAAGCCAGAGTCCTTTTGCTTGCAGCCCAGCAATGGAATTGTCATCCGTGCATTCAAAAACAGGAAAGGGCATAAATATGATGAATTGAAGAAGATAAGCAACCTGCTTAAGGAAATTGCAAGAGTTGAAGATGTAAGACAAGCATTGGAGAAGCTTAAAAGTTAGACAAAAGATCTTGTAAAAAGAAACTCATGTATCCACTGTGTATGCTGTAACACTGCTCACTCTAAATTGATTGTGTCACTGTCTCCCTCACAAAAACAAATGTCCAATTTAGCTTTGGAAACAATGTTATGGCAAATCATAATCAGAAAGACATCTCGAGTTTCAGTCTGATTCATTACTTGAGAGTCAATCGATAATTGTGATGCTTAAGCAGCGTCATCCTCTCTGTCCTGAAACGCAACGTAGAGCCTCCCAAAATCCCATGGCTCGATCACCTGGCCTATCCTTTTAGTGTGGCTTGACAAGAGTGGTATATAGTTTAGATACGATCTCATTATGCTCATTGTTTTGTTGTCCATCCCCACCTACAAATCAAACATGGACGAGAGTGGTATATAACTTGGATACGATCTCATTATGCTCACTGTTTTGTTGTCCATCCCCACCTACAAATCAAACATGGAGTGAGGAAAACAAAACGAAAACAAAGTTCGTAAACGACAGAAGTTTATACCTGTAAGATATCTCCAGTGAATAAAAAACCTCTCCCTTGAGCTCCATGAGACCAGTGGAGGATTTGTGCAACAGCAAAATGGCTAAAAGCGTGAGTCCCTCCCATAGTAGAACTTAACCTTTTCGTGCTGGTAAACCACTCTGCAAAAGTATGGATACAGAGAGATCGAAATGAAAGAGAGAAACAAAGGTAGACAATACCATTCGTGGGTGTAAACCGGGACGCCTCCAAAAGCCTCGCTCCATCGAGAGTTTGTGCTGTAGTAATGCAGGTGAGAGATGGCAATCGCTCTCAATGCACCTAGTGACTTGGTTATCTCCACTGTGGCATCGTCTAGAAATGAGATGCAGTCCCACAGTATGTTTCCCTCTATCAAAAACATAAAAACCATAAAAAATGCACAACGGCCATAGCTCCAAACATACACACCTTGAGCCTGGATGAGAAACGCTCGCTGTCCAATGCCAAACTTTGGAAAGGTTATGATCTCGAAGACCTGCGGCTCATGCTTCTTGAAACCATTGCGAAACTGCAGTCTCATCTTGCTCATGGACGTCCATACCTGACCTTCCCTAAAACTAAAAGTCAAGAAAACTCGAGACCTCCAGGATTTCTGACAAAACATCCCACCCAGACGTGTGCCTCCATAAGTTTGAAATCCAAGAGCGTTAACAAGGACTCTCGTGGTGTCTTTGTAGAAAGCAATAACGCCGTGCATTGCTTAGAAACCTTAAGAGATAACCAAGATCTCAGTAAAAGGACAAACTTGTTAAAACTCGAGGAGAAAGACTGACAGACCTTGAGATCCTCTGGAGATATCAGCTGCTGGATGTGGTGGAGGCGGAGCAGAACCTCAGGTCAGACCCCGCTTATCTTGCTTACTATCACTCGCATGTCCAAGCCTCCTGTTTGAGCGGTGTTGGACGCTCCATTGAAGCAAGCGCATATAACACGGTTAAACACGTTTCTTACTGGAAAGCCATCGGTATAGAGCAGCTGACGACTATCAGCTGGAACGTAGCGTATTTGGAGGGTTCCAGTCTCTATGGCCACCTATTTTCCACTCGTTTAGTTCTGTCCAAAATGTAAATGAGTTTTCTTGTACCTGTAGATGGACTTAGGACAGACGTCCGAGATGTAGATCGTATAGTAGATGTGCATTTCATGTAGACGATGTTTCCATAAGTATGGATAGTGCTGTCCTTTTGGAAAGTGCTGGCTTGTCCGATCATCACAACCGTGTCAACATAATCGAAAACTCACAACTGGAAAAGAAGAAACAAGAAGAGAGCAAACGGAATAAGAGCTTACCGGATAGGATGGATCTTGCACTGCCGCTGAGACGCTCAACCCAAACGTAAGCTGCGCAAGACATTAGGAGATGATATCCTTTGATCCATCGCCCTGAAAACCACCCTCCAGTTGTGTGCAGGAAGTTAATTGTGATCGCGATTGCCTCCGGCATTTGGAGTGCAGCTGAGCGATGGGGGATGAGTTCTCGCCGCGTGCCATGAAAAACATCGTGGCTGGACCATGGAAGCTAGAACCTGCCCGGACGTCCCCATCATCCAACGGCCATGATGCGATGCGCATAAGAGCTTGCCGCCCTCGTCACATCTTGCGACAATGCCAGCGATGGCGCGCCAGATCCACGCCTAGATCCTTCCCAGGGACCACAAGAACAGCGTCTTCCTGCGAAATCTCCTCGTCCAGATGTATGGCGTGCTATTTAGTGAAGATAGATGCAATTATATGGTTACTTATATATTGTATTATTCAAGGTAGTAATGGTTCGCCACTGTTTGATAAGATACAATAAGAATAAATCAGGAAATAAAAGAAAGGAGCAAACATAAGCACTAGAGTTGTCACTAGAAATCCAGTTCCCAAGGGGCACACCAGCGAAACAATGAGTAATATGATTCCAAACAACATAAGAATCACACCTACACACAAAGTTTTGTTAAAAAAAACCAAAGGAACCAAAAGAATTTCACGTACTTGCATGATTCTGGGTTTGCTTCCAGACAGTAGAATTTGATACTGTCCATGGTGTTAGAATGCCAATGGTGGAATTAAACTCCACATACTGGAAGAATCAAAGAAGAAATCGCATGACACCACGAAAGATCAAGGCATGAAAATTCGACGGTACCTGGATGTTATATCCAAACCAGAAGAGTAGCCACAATGCTATGCTCGCAACGAAGAGACGAGGATGAAAGTCATGGCTGGGACTCGTTGCCGCATCTAAGATCACGAAAATGTGAACGAAGAACAGGAACAATGCCGGCACGGAGATCACGTGGGCTGCCGCGTGCTTTGACTCTCCGCTGGAAATCCACCCAGACGATCAAATTTCCCGTGCTAGATCTGGAAGACTTGGGAGAAATCACTCACCCCTGTCGCTCCAGATCCCTATCGCGCGCGGCGAATTGATAGATGACATATGGAATCAGGAACTGGAGCACCGGGAGCGCGAAGAGACCGATCCATCGCGGCGCCCAGGCCACGGGATGCCCTAGAAGATCTAGATATCAGACAATGCCGATAGAAATCTATGGATTTTACCCTGCAGATTCCACCAGAATGGCACCTTGTGAGGCGCGGAATGCCACTTAAATGCCGTCGCGATGACGCTAGTGATCGCCAGGAGTAGCGGAAGCCCCACCGGATTGCCCATATCTCCCCGATCTGCCAAGAAAACTCGCAAGAACCTACAAAATTTCGAGAGAGAGGTGCCCAGCTGGCAAGGAATAAAAGCTGGCCGTTGAAGGGAATATCCGACGCTTTTAAATAGGTCACAGACCAAACTTCTGGGCGCTCAATGAATGCGCTCAAGGCGGTGGACGGCTCCGATGGTCTGGGAGCCAACGGCGGGGATTGTCGTGTGGAGTAGTGTGAGTTCTTTAGCTTAGGTTATTCTCGGCGCGCTTTGCTTGGCGCTCGCTCGCTCGCTCCATCGATCCGATCGAAATGACGTCGACACCGGGGCCTGCGCAGATCCTGTCCGAGTTCCTGATGGAGAACGCGAGCAACATCGGAATCACAGCTCTCGCCTTCGCATGCGTCCAGCACTACATCCCCGTTGTCAAGGCGCTGGCGATCTTCGGTATGCTCTGTGGATTTCGCCTCCTCTACGCGCTTTCCATTGGGATTTGGGCCGCATTCCTCCGGCCTGCCAAGAATGTCAGGGATTACGGCGCCTGGGCGCTGGTCACGGGCTGCACGGATGGAATCGGCAAGGCGCTGTGCCACCAGTTCGCGCAGCGCGGCCTCAATCTGGTGCTCGTCGGCCGCTCGGAATCCAAGCTCCGCGACATGATCCAGGAATTCCAGGCGCTGTACAAGGGCGTGGATTATCTCCCCGTGGTGGTCGATCTCTGCGGGCCGGATCTCCGGGCCGAGGTGTCGAGGGTCGAGCGGGCGATCGAGGGGCTAGAGGTGGGAATGCTGGTGAACAACGCGGGTATGTCGTATCCTTACGCGCGATTCTTTCACGAGGTGGACGACGAGCTCCTCACCAATCTCCTCCGGATCAACGTGGAGGCGATGACGAGAATGGTTCACATGGTTCTCCCGGGGATGCTCAAACGGAGGAAAGGATGTATCATCAATATGGGCTCCGGGGCAGCGTCCATTCTCTCCTCGGATCCATTATACTCGCTCTACGCGGCGACCAAAGGGTACGTTCTTCCTCCTCTCATTGTTCTTCCTTTCTTCTTCTTCAGCCGTTTGAAGCTATGATCTCTGGCTACGTTTCGCTGTTCTAAGCTGCAAAACACTTTTTTTTTCGCACAGATTCGTCGACCAATTCTCGAAGTCACTGAATGTCGAGTACCGGGATGTAGGAATCGACATCCAATGCCAGGTACCAGTAGACCATTTCCACGAACTTTGGAAGTGATCGCTCGTTCTTTTCTGTCACAGGTTCCTCTATATGTCGCCACGAAAATGACGCGAGTACGAAAGCCTTCCCTTGCTTGTCCCTCGCCGGATACTTACGCGCAGTGCGCGATGCGATGGATCGGCTACGAGGCCCGCGTCACTCCCTACTTCCTCCACTCGCTGCTGTGGTTCATAAGGGGATTGTTCCGGGAGCACACTCTCGATGCCAATCGCTTGAAGACAAGCTTGAACATTCGCAAGAGAGGGATCGCTCGCGATGCCCAGAAGAAGCAAGAGGAGGAAGCCACGAAGATCTGATCTATACAACACTGGAAGAGGAAGAAGAAACGATTGACTATGTCTGTGAGAATATTTTTTTAAGGGTCTTCTAAGGGCTTTTTTTTTTAAGTTTAGGGTTTGAGCAAGGGCATTTGTTTTGAACTTTAGGGTTTAAGCGCCATTCTGATTTGGGGGAACGTCGATCGCCGGGCAGCAGTCGAAGAATCCATGCGGCTGCGCGATCCATCGATCACTCGTTAGCGGCGCCATAGCAAGCGATCGAGGATTCCTACCGTGAGTGTGAATCCGATGCGCTCCACTGGCATCACGGGCCAATCCTCGAGCCTAGGTATGTGTGTCACTCCAAATACGTACCTGCGTTGCATCGATCGAGAACTAGGAGATTTTGCGAGAAGAGAGGAAGGAGAGATCGATCCTAGAGTATTACCACAGGACGATGTCGGCATTCTCGAGATCGCGGTCCTTTTTCACCCAGGTCGGCAGGCCTTCTCCAATGCGGGGGTTTTGCTTGGGGAACTCGCCGGCTGGGTAGAGCTCGTCTTTGCTATAGCTGGTTACCCAGAGGTTGTGCTTGAGAAACTCGGCTCTTCGCAGGATCATCGCGTCCTTGCCGATGAATCCCAGGCAGTTTGCTCCGGGAACAAGCTTGTAGCCTGTGTTTCCGCCAGCTCGATTCACAACTTTGGTGTTTCTTACCTGCATTGTCATAGAAGTCGAGCATGAAGTTTTTTCTTCGTTGTTGAGTCTACTTACTATCCAGTGTCGTGCAGATAAAGGATTGCAGTCTCTCTGAGCTTGCATTTCGGATTTTAGCAGCGTCTCCTTGGCGTAGAATGCGTTGCAATGAGGATTGTTTGGACCCGGTGGCTCTGGCACAACGTTAACCTCTACAACCTGAGAAACAAGGACTTAGAAACAATGAGCCGAGGCAAGGAAAGGTGATAGTTTCATATTGAGCTTCAAGTACCTGATTTTCTGCTTCTCCAGGTTTGCTGTCGACTGCCATGTTCATGCGTGCTACAAAAAAGTGCTGGTGTATCGGAGCGTATAATCCAGTGCTTATGACCGTTCCGTTTTTCCTTTGCTCGCCGGGCTGAATCGCTCCGAGGCTCAGAATGCCGGTAAGTTTCACTTCAGCCTCTATTTTCCCATCCTAAGTAGGGAGCTTTAGTGATAGTCTGGATTGTTAGGATGCTTGTTGATCTACCTGGTAGAAGTGCCAGTAGAAGCCATAGTCGTAGTTTGCGACAGTGCATATGAAAGAAACGGTGAGCCGTCTAGATCTTCGGACTTCAGAAAGACCTGTCCTCCAATCCTTGTGCTTCCACAGTATGCCATTGTCTTCTTCGTGTAAGCATATTGCATTTTCGAGTGTTTCGACGTCTCCCTTTTGGTCCGTGAGATACGCATCGAAGTAGTGAATGTATCCTAAGCAGTCGCATCCCTGCCAAAGCAAACAGGTCGTGAGCTTACATGTCTGCTAGTCATCCTACCTTTTTCAGCGAGTGAGCATTCCTCCCAAGTCCGTCTTCTCCTACATCGAAAGCATTTTTTCTGTAATGTGGTTCTGCAGGATCTCCGTAAGGGACTATCATCTCTACGAAGCTCAACCTGTGAGCCACAGACCTCGGACCTCGAGAACCGTCGCTATACGCTACAGTGTGGATTACTAGACCTTCTCGTGGAGTAAATCCCAGGCGAAAGGACCACTGAGGTAAAAACGAACAGGTTAGTCTCAAGAGCACTCGAGAAACCTTTACCTTTTGCCAGGTTACTTCGTATCCATTAACTTCAAAACTTGGTCCTCCAGGTTGTAAAATCTGCAACGGCTTGACGTCGGTTCGGAGGCCTCCTGGAACACAAGCTGGTGTGTAGTTCCTCATTGGATCTGGTGGCGGAAGCGGAGCAGCTTCTCTCTCCTCGAGTTCGACGACATTCATGTTCTGGAGATCAACTAGCAGCGACAGGCCTTCTATCGGTCTCGCGTAGCCGTTTTCCATCGGACAGGAGCTCTCAGTTCTATAAAACATAAGCGGTCTCGCCAGTCTACGACTTGGAGCATCCTTTTCTTCGTGGTAACCAGTGCACCTGCACTAAGTTCATGTTTCCGACAAGCGAATTCCGCAAGGCTTACCAGGTGTCCACCATGATCAGGTCAGTGTTAGTGATTCCTCGTTTTCTCAATGCCTCTATTAGTGGCTTGTGCGATTTTACGATTGCTTCACAGAGCACGTATTCCTCTGTTCCCTGCTGGTCACTTACACGTTCTTGTCTATCATGCAAGGAATTATGAAAACTTACCACTGGAGGCTGGACGTCTGGAATGTACTGGCACCACAAGACTTTGGGAGCTCTAGGCGCTGCTGGTAATTCCACAACCCAGAGACTTGTTTCATTGTTGTGTGCATTGTACACGGTCAGCCTTGCTTGTCTTGAAGGACGTACTAGCTGTTGATGGTTGTGTTTCACTTGGAGTTGACATTGATACAGAGCAAGCAGCATCTTCTCTGGCTCGTCGAGGATCACCTCGATGAAGTTTATGACGCCGCTTTTGGCCTGTAAGAACCATTTTCGTGAGGTTGCGTGCAAAGAGAAAGAACTCACAAGTGTTGGTGCAAGTGCAGTTTTGATAACATGCGCTGCTGCTACAATCTCCGACGGTTGCAAGGGATCCAGAGGGTGGAAAGAGTGACCTGTGCAAGAAGGAAGCTCGTGAGTGCATTTGCCACAGTAGTGCTTACATTTTTCTGCATCCTGGTTGCCTTGTTCCTTTCCATTTGGTTGAGATCCCTTCGTGATACTGACATTGCACCGGGACTTACAGGTGACTGCTGACGGAGGAGCCATGGCAAACCTTCTTCATAAAAATGCAGCGATCCTTTTTCACGAAATGAAAACGGGTGTTCCGGCATGACAGGTATTGTTTTTTGTTTCATTCTATGCACGCCGTCCCTTATAGTTTTGCAGCTGCGGGTGTTCTTTTCCTCCCAGGAATTCGGTGTCTCACCGCAACAGACCAGGTACGTTCATGCAAAGTCGAGCAGTTTCTATTTAATCGTAAGCTCGACTTGAGCAGATCAAACTTACGTGGCTAGATCTAGCGCACACGATGTTGATTGGATATTCCTCCGTCTTAAGGTTCAAAACAGCAAGGGATTTTCTGACCTTTTGGTTTGTCTCTGCTGACCGCAGCAGTGCCGCGAGCGGCTATGGCCTTTTTATCTCTGTATCTTTCAAAGCCGTCGACCACCGAAGCGTTGTGGGTTTCTGATTGCCGAATAATTCATGGGTGCTGCATTCAAATGCCGGCTGCCAGGATTAGATTTCAACACAGGAGTGCCGGGGTCCGATCGAAACGGCACACAGGTAGGCATGTTGCATGCTGTTGTAGGTGCTCAATTCTCATGAAACAGGGCGTTTGAACGTTCGGGCAGCTGGTACTGAGACAGACAAAAGTAAGGAACTTGTCAAGGTTTCTTTCTTTCCTTACCAATTTTGACATTTGTTTTTCTCTGATTCAGCCAAGCCCAATGCTCCTGAAGTTACTCCCAGTGATACCAGATCTTCCGCCGTGAACCAACTTCTTGGCATGAAAGGAGCTGGAAAAGAAACGGTGCCTGCCGAACGACTTTTCCACCGAAAGGAAGATTTCTAAATCACATGATATCTCAATGCAGGACAAGTGGAAAATCCGCTTACAGTTGACAAAACCGGTGACATGGGCACCATTGATCTGGGGAGTCTTGTGTGGTGCAGCGGCATCTGGTACGCTTGTGCGTGTTGGTCGCTAAAAAAACCGAGAATGCATGTTGCAGGAAATTTCCATTGGACAATCGAGGATGTTGCTAAGTCCATCACTTGTATGTTGATGGCCGGGCCATTCTTAACTGGATACACTCAGGTTATTTTCCTTTTTCGATTCTATCTTCATCTTCCATATTTCTGTTTCAGACCATCAACGATTGGTATGATCGCGAGATAGACGCTATCAACGAGCCTTACAGACCAATTCCGTCAGGAGCCATATCCGAACCCGAAGTAAGTCGACAAGTCATGAATTTTTGGTTGAGTTCTTCTGACGACTTTACAGGTAATCACGCAAATTTGGGTGTTGCTTCTTGGTGGCATTGGTCTTGCTTATACGCTCGATGTGTGGGTATGTTGTTTTTCAATCTCGTCCTTCGGTTTTAAATCTTTGCTTACACATGTTCGCAAACACAGGCTGGTCACTCATTTCCAACAATATTCTGCCTTTCGCTTGGAGGCGCTTTGCTCTCATATATATACTCTGCCCCTCCTTTAAAGGTATCAAACCACTCCTCCAGGAGTACGAGTTAAGCTTGCGTTTTACAGCTGAAGCAAAGCGGATGGATAGGAAACTACGCACTCGGCTCAAGCTACATTGCCTTGCCTTGGTACGTGACATTGCTTTCGCTCGCTCGCGTTTTGATTTCCTCTTTTGCGCCATACAGGTGGGCCTCGCAAGCTCTCTTTGGAACGCTCTCCTGGGACGTTGTCGTCCTCACTTTATTGTACAGCACGGCAGGGGTTAGCGTCCTTGCGTTTTTCCTTTCCATTTCTCTTGTACTCAATCGCCAGCATTGTGTCGTCACAGCTCGGAATCGCCATCGTGAACGACTTTAAGAGCATAGAAGGAGACCGTGCCATGGGATTACAGGTGATATTCTTTTATATTTCTCCTTTGGATCTAGCCAAAACTCGTTCAAATGCTTTCGCTTGATTACCCAGTCTCTACCAGTCGCATTTGGAATCGACACTGCAAAGTGGATATGCATTGGCTCCATCGACCTCACGCAGCTATCCGTTGCAGGTCAGCAGCTAAAAATCCCGAGTTTAAGAAAACAAGAAAACACGACTTTTTCTTCCACTTATTCCGCGTTTGATCACAGGCTACTTATTCGCCACTGGGAAGCTCTACTACGCACTGACATTACTTGGACTCATCACTCCGCAAATAATTTTCCAGGTGAGCTAGCATTCTTTTGTCCAAGTTGCGAGCTCGATTGTCTCGTAGTTTCTAGCTTACGCTCTTTTCCCTGTTTCCAATCTCATCCAGTTCCAGTACTTCTTAAAGGATCCACTTAAATACGACGTGAAGTATCAGGCAAGCACATGATTTCCACTCCCCAAAGTTTCTTTTTGACCAATCCTATCTCTCATTTGTCTTGCAGGCTAGTGCGCAACCATTCTTTGTTCTGGGTCTTCTCGTCACGGCTTTGGCCACTAGCCATTGAGACAAGAGAGCTCCAAAAAAAGTCGTTTTTTTTTGTTCCAGCTGGAATCGAACCGTTGCCCTTTGAAACAATGACGTCGATGTGTCCAATGGGGCCTCGCCACGTGTTGCGTCAAGGACACAAAAGCCCTAGGGCAAGGAAGAGCTCCAAGCTCGCGCGATGGCGTACGTTGCTGGAGGTAAGAGATCGATCGAGTATTTCCAATTTCTCCTTCCTTGCTGATGGAATCGGAACAGGGTCATTGAAGAACAAGCGCCCATGGAGCCTCAGCCTCCTCGCGGACTACTTTTGGGGGATTTTGGCCTTGATTCACACCTTCTTGCTCACCTTGTTCTCTGTAAGTGTGTTTGTCTTGTCCAGCCTGATTGGGCACAAAGTCAAAACGATTGGTCTTTTTTAAGATAGACAAGGATAGCTACGATTGATTGAAGATTCACGTTGTTGATAGAGAGCCCCGCTGGTCCCAAAGCTAGAAGCTTTAGAACTTAGTCCTTGTGACAAAACTCTGTTCTCTCCGGGTTTTCTCGCCAGCGGAAAAGATTCGCACTGGTTTCCCGTGACTGATGCCTCGTGTTGCATTGCAGAAGGACGCATCAGATCAATACGGCAGGACGAGACGATCAAGCGGAGGAAGTAGAGGAGGGTGGGGTGGTGGCGGCGGTGGTGGTGGCGGTGGCGGTGGTGGTGGCGGAGGCAGACGGGGTGGACTAGACAACATCCGGGGCATTGATCACAGTACGTAACATTCTTTAAAGGGAGAGAAGAAGGAAGTTCTTTCCTTTTTGTTGGAGCTTCTTTACCCTTTTTTCTTGATTTTTTCTCTAATGCTCTTTCCGGATGGATGCTTTGCATTTGCAGGTGCACCCACTAGAGGGTGTGGGTCGTGCTGTGGATTATGAGACCCGACAATGGTGGTGTCCATATGTCTCTTTCAAAAGCAACACGAAAGTCCGGAATGGATCTATCTATGTATCTTGGCCAAAGCCTTTTCCACACATTTTAACAAATAAAAAAGGAGAAAACCAAGAAAGCTCTGACAAAACTAGTATCGACTGTAGAGGCAGCCGCTCGTGATCGATGGATCGATCCCTCCCTTTTTTACTTCTTACACAGTGTTTCAAGAAAAAAAGCTGTGGACATTCTTGTTCTCCAAAGAAGCGATTGATCGATCGCGCTCTAGATCCAGTGAAGGTCCCGCTTTCTTTTCCTTCGTGGGGTCATGGCGGATGAAGAGAGCCTTTCACCTAAGAACCACACACATGATAGCACATGATTAGCCACCTTGTAACGAAACAGCCAAGCTTTACGGTGTCCGGGAACTGAACGGGCTCCAGAAGGTTACCGGTTCTTTTGGTCGTCGCTCAAGAGCGCGGCTCGCAAGTTGGATTCCTGGCGCTCGATCTTAAACTTGGTGAGGAAGCTGTCGATGCGGGTGTTGAGATCGTCCCGGTCGAGAGGGACCGGGCGCGACGGTGGGATGTAAGTGCCGATGTTTGCGAGCGAGGGTGTTGATATCGACGACGAGGCCGTGGGCGTCATGGTCTTTGGCGACGAATTCCTCCGGGTGACGTGCTTGGGATCCATCTCCAGCCCAAAGGAAGATGGCGTGGGCGTTCTCGACTTGGGCGACGAGTTCCTCCTCGTCACTCGATGCGTCTGCGCCTGCGTCTGCTTCTGCTGCTGCTGCTGCTGCTGCTCCTGGTGCTCCTTGTCCGCCGCGGCGTGGATCTCCTCCAGCATCTTGGCGTCCAGCTTGAGCGATTGGGTCTTCTTGTGCCTCGGCCTGGACACTCTCTGCTCGTCGATCGACTCCAATTGCTCGTTCCTGGCGGACTTCTTCCTCGATGCTGTTGGAGATGGAGCCGGTTGATCGCGTTCCTCCTCGAGCTTTGAGGAGATCTTCTTTGCCGGAGGCTGATGATCGCGTTCCTCCTCGAGCTTTGAGGAGATCTTCTTTGCCGGAGGCTGATGATCGCGTTCCTCCTCGAGCTTTGAGGAGATCTTCTTTGCCGGACGCTTCTTTACTTGTGGCTCTTGTTCTTCTCTTGCTGGAAGCTCTAGCTTTCTTCGAAGTTCATCAACTTCTCGTCGTTCTTCTTCTTCCTCTCTCTCGGATTCCGATGACGATGAGAACGAAGGGTCCGATTCCCGAGCCTTGGGATTGTCAGCTACAGTAGTGCTACTCTCATCCTTCTTCACCTGGCGATGAGCATCAAAAACACTGCCCCAATCTTCGCTGTTGCCGATCAAGCTCTCCCCCGCGATGGAGGAAGGAGCTCTAGCGATGCCACTGCCACTGCCACTGCTGCTCTTGGAGTGATTGATCCACAGGAAGAACACCACACAGTTGACGAGGAGGAAGAGCACTGGCAAGGACAGCCACTGGATGAGATCCGTGTAGCTCGTCGACTGGAATGCCTCGGCAAGCGCTGGAGCGTAGAAGTAGACGACCCAGGGGAAGATAGCAGTGAGGAAGAAGATAGCGGCGACAGCAAGGGGCCGCTCGGCGATTCTCACGAGCAGGGTGTCCGATGTGCGGTATTCCCTGTCCGCCATGGATTTCTCGAGCTCCGTCATGGTGAGAGTCGCTGGAGAGTGGAATCGATCGACAAGTAGAGAGAATATTTCGAGAAAAGAGAAATATTTCGCGAACAAAGATCGATGCGGGAGGAGGAGAGATCGATGGAGGAGCGATATTTCGAGGAGAAGGAACGATGGAGGAGCGCTATCAAGGAGGATCCCTGAGAAATGCAGCACTCACTTACAGTAACCTGGATCGATCGAGCGCGGCATAAATCGGCGCCGGATCGATGAGCGAGACGTGAAGAACTCTGTCACCGCCTAGCGGCAGAGCCTGGACTTTGAAGAACCGATCAATGTTTGTAGCGCCGCCTCCGCCAGTGACGATGTACTCGACAGAGCCAAGGAGAGAATGAAAGAGAGAGAGAGAGGGCACGCAAGCGTATAAATGGAATCTTCCCGAGATGCGATTAGGAGGTCCCAGGTTCGAATCCCGTGGGCTCATTGTCGTTATTTGTTTGTAATGACAGGTGGGTTGAATTTGTGTTGTGTGATGTCAAAATAACTCTCGTCATGGTTAAAATTCTCATGCTAAGGTGGTGAAAGTGACAAAATCGACATGGCCTCTTATCAAACCACGTAGCATGCTATTCTCCAACACAACAATCTAAGTAAAATCTCCTTGGAGTGATTTTCTTTTCGCGATGTTTTACGTGGTGTCTAGGCGTGACTTGTCCGTGCGTACTTTGGGACCACTGTCCTTGTTCCATGTGTTCCACGCTGGAGGCTAACAATTTAGTTCCATCCGGGAGGTAAAACGTAGTTCTTCTTGCTACTATTGCAGGATCTTGGAAGGATCGAAAATAGCTATAGCTCCTCCTGGAAGGAACACGGGAGATCGAAACAAAAACGATGATGCCTGGAGAAATTTTTGTAGCAGCGAGCGAGAAATTCGAGTAAAGATCATACGGAGTTCTCGCTAGCCACATGTGATTCACGTTTGTTTGTGCCGGAACCACGGAAGAATTTACGTATTGCTGACAACATTCTGGAAGAGATCTCCCCTGGAAAAAACACCAGGAATTGGTCAGAACAATGTAAGAAACTGGCAAACTTACTCACAAGATGACACTGCTCGGGAAGTTTCTCCGGCTGAAATGACTTACGTAGGCTTGCAGAAGAGAAAGAAGAAAAGTTTTCTAGCATGAAGCAACCGCGAGAGCATGCCTGCCACCACAGGCAACGAGTTTTACCACCCACCCGGTACTACCATTGGCCTCGTCTTCACTGACGATGTTGTGCCGCGAGTAGTGATGGAGAGAAACGGGGACTTCGACGGGATGCCCGGTCGTGACTGCTCCACTATAGCCAAGACGCCCGTGGTCACCACGTCCAAACTAGACCAGGTAAGAGGCAGCCATCAATCTACGACTTGAAACGTGATCCAAAACTACACGAACTTACTGAGAACATGCGACCGCTGATTGTTGCTGCCACGGAATGCGTGCCACCACACGAAACCTGTAAACTTGCGTACAATTCTCAAAATCCTTCCGAGGATGGAAAAGAGAAAACATATAAACAAGAAAGTTTCTGTACCTGCACAACTGGCTCTCCAGCTAGAAGATGAACTTTCTGTGGAAGCATTTTGCTGCTCTTGTCATCACCGAAACCCAGCCGTCCATGCTCTCCTCTCCCCCATCCATACACCTGTGCGTTTTGTCAAAAGACTCAGCATAGGCTCTTTGTTTCCGTGAGATCTTAGAGAGACACTTACCGCTCCATCAGGTGTCAATGCCATAGAATGCCAGCCACCAGCTGCAATATCAACCTTACAAGACAAAGAAAGCATACATTAAAGAAAACTTATGAAGCGTAAGAGAGAGTCAAGAGAATCATGTACAAACCAGAACAAGTCCAGTCAAACCCTTCACAGGAACTGGAGAAGAACGCGGCTGGGTATCTCCAGTGCCAAGTTGCCCGTACTCGTTGTTGCCCCACGCCCAAACTTCTCCGTGTTGGACCAGCGCAAGATTGTGAAAAGCACCGACGGCAATCATGGTTACGTTCTCCAATCCCTGTACGCGAACTGGAACAGATATTTGCTTGCTGGAACGCAAAAAGCCACCAATCAGCCAAAAAGAAAGTCTCGCCAGAAAAAGTTTACATGTCGCCGGGAGGCCATGGTTGTCCCCAGGTCCAAACATGTCCTTCCTCTGTAAGGACCACCGAGTGTGTGCCACCCGCTGCTACCTGAAAGAAGAAAAAACAGAGAATCTTAGCAAGGAAAGGCCACCAAGCTACGACAAGAAAGACTTCCAAATAGCCTACTCAACTGCCGGACGCATAGACGAGGAGCACATCTCTGAGGAATAGTGATGTCACGGTGGAGAACTTTACTCTCGCCTTTGTTTTGCTGCTCTTTGGTTTGCTGCTCTTCAGCGCACTGACCATACTCGTTACCTCCTGGAAAGAAAATGCAAAGGATTTCCTCGCAAAAACAATTCTTTTCTTACCCCATGCATATGTTCTTCCCTCTTCGTCCACAGCCAAGCAATGCCAACCTCCAATCGCAGCCTGTGATAGACAGTCTTTAGCTACAAAAGGAGAAAAAGTATGAGCGATCTTACCTGGACAATTTTCACATTTGCCAAAGCCTTGACCTGCAAAGCCCGAGATCTCAGTTCCCTGCTGGAAATGTCTTGCAGGGAGCGATTAGGCACCAAAAATCTACACCACACTCTACCTGGCTCGGCGTGCTCTCCGTCTTGGTCTCTGGAGGATGCCCCAGAGTGCCGCGCTGGTTCCATCCCCAAGTAAAGAGCTGCGACACACCGATCACCAAGAAATATTACGACCTCTTTCGCGATTCGCTGCTCACCCGGCCGTCCTCACAGATCGCCAGGGAGTTGCGGCTCCCGGCCACGACGCTGACTACATTGTGATCGCGCAGCGCATCGACAACGCACACGGAATCCTTGTCCTGGAGATTGCCGAGCCCGAGCTGCCCGTCCTCACCGGCTCCCCTGCAAATCACAGCCAGCGCCAATCAATCAGTACCGCGCGCGGCAAGAGAAACGATCGAAACGCACCACGCCAACACACAGGTGCGCGACGCCATTATCGAGGAACCCTAAATTAAAGGAGAACACGAAAAAAAAAGGTTTTGCCTCAAAACAGTAGATGCCAAATGTACAAGAAGCATATTCCACGTCCTTACAGAAAAGCCAAAGCGGCGGCGATGGCGGCGGTGGCGGCGGTGGCAGTGGCGGTGGCGGAGCACCGAGAAGCGTCACTGTGGCGATGAGATCCACCAGCTACGATTACTGGGCTCCTTGGAATCCTTCCTCCTCTCGATCCTCCTTTTGATTCTCCTCCTTTCGATCCACCGCTTCCTCTGGATCCTCCACCTCTTGATCCTCCTCGTCCTCTCCCACCTCCGCCGCTTCGAAGATCTCTCCTTTCCCCGCCCACTTCTTCCACTCCCTCTAGCTCTACTGCGAGTAACAGTAGCGCCACCATCGCCACCACCATTAACTTCCTGATCTTCATGCCCACTTCCTAAAATGAAAAACGACGAACCTAGAAACTTTGCTGGATTTATGTAAACTTTCTCTCGCGAAAATCCTGTGTGTGTTACTGTGTGGGTGTTGCCGCTGCCGCTTGCTGCTGCTGCTGCTGCTGCTCGACAGGGGTCCCAGTACGAGCCTGACGAGTTTTACTTTTAGATTCCACGACGTGATGAAACAAACGCGTTTGAGTATACCTGTGCGATTCTGTTCGCGTAAATCGTGACCAGCCGTAACTGGTTGCTGCTGAGGCTGCTCAGATACGGGACGAATGCTTTTCCGAGTGCGATGTAGATGTCCACCAAGCAAAAGACAACAGTCTGTGGAAGAAATCATAAGAAGCACCGAAAGGGAGGAACTTTAAACCCAGACCTTGCGAACGTCGGCGTTTTGGTTGCCAAACGCGTCGAAGAGAGCCGGGAGGAAAGACGGTAGCTGCTCCATGAGCTCTTGTTGTGGAAGACGGGATACAAGCTGAAAGAGAAACAAAACACATGTTATCCCAATGCTCGTTTTCTCCTTCGTACCTTAGTTAGGCAGCTTATACAAGTAATCAAGGTTCTCACGTCTTCGTTCACGAGAAGAGGAACAACAACCTGCGGCAGCAGCAGGCTTGTTATCCATTGCCAAAAGTGCTGTGGGCTTACCGAGAGGCAGCGATAGGCATCGAATTCTTTAAGTACAACGGTCAGGCACGCGTCTGCCCCAGCAGCAACCTGTGCAAACAAAAGAACAGCTCGAACTTGGCCATCGTTCCCATTAAGGTTTGCCTACCTTTGGCGTCTGGTCTTTGCTTGCATGCAGAAGTTTCTCTACCAGCAGCTCTGTTGGTTCTTCCATCATCGCTCTCTGAAGAAACTGGTGAATGGGAATCTCGAGAAAATCAGAGGAAACAAACCTGATTATTTAGCATTTCGAAGATAACGGATAAAGCAAGCTCGCGAATGGCATTATTCGGATCATCAAGTGCTTCGAGAACAGCCGTGAGGATCTGGTTAAAATACTGCAAAAACCATATTTCAGAATTCAGCTTGGTAGAGAGTAACCTTCTCACCTGTGACCAGCTGCTAGCATCGGCTTTACGAAATATCGCGAGAAAATCTTCGAGAGCGCCTGATCGTTTACTTGAATCCTCCACATTAGACATCTGCACGAAATATCATCAACATCATGTTTAGAAAACATCTTCAGTCTCAATACCTGTATAAGCAGCGATGGAATACTCGGAAGATCGTCGAAACTTGATCCGTTTGCCTCCGAAGGCTTGACTTCTTCCGCTAGAGGTACCTTGCTAGACTCCTGAGAAAAGAACTGTTTGTATGCTTCGTCTGCCTCATTTTTCTGTTGACGCTTTTCCAAACTAGTCTCGTCAGTCTTATTATGTTCAATACTGTCGACCATATTCCTCAGGTCCTCGGTGCTCAGTCTGCGTGTTTGGGACATTCTATCGAGCTTATCTCCAGAACTTCGCAATCCGGCCTTCTTAAACTGGGAAACGTCCTCGATACTCGACACGCTCCTGAAGTTGTTTGAGCTGATGGCGCTCGCATCATTTTCTTTGGACTGACCGTTCATTCTGGCGTTATACTGCACTGAGTCGGCCTGCATGGAGCTCCACTTTCTACCAGAGTCGCTGTTTATGGATCCGGAAGAATAGCTTCCAGGCGGCTGGCTTCTCATCAAGGTCGAGTAGGCTCGACCTCCACCATCGACGGACATGGTAGAGTAGTCATTTTGATCATTGCCTGACTTCTTCCCTCGTTGATGCTTGCTTTGCAGAACTGCGACGAGGTCCACTTCTATGCGAGGAGTGTACTGTTTCAATGCACGACGTAAGCTGGCTTGCTCTTCGATGGATAAGTTGAGAATGAAGTTCAGGACTGCGCCGGAATCGTAGTGAGTATAAACTGCTATAAGACTGTTGACAGCAATATCCTTAAGCTTCGGGTTTTTATCGTTCACTAGAGGAGCAATCTTTGCCAGCCACAACCTCATCAGTCCACTACCACCTGGTATTTCCCCTGAGAGCGTGAGCTTACTGAGTGCATTGTTGGCAAATTCGATGATAGCGACTTTGGCCTTAAGTGACCGCTGCTCGTCGAGGGATCGCAACAAAGCAGGGAGCAACGACTCAATGGTGTAAGTCGTGCCAACCGTCTCAAGAACTGATGCACTGAGCTGCCGTATGATTTCCTTCGGGTCGACCAATCTGGAGAAGACGTGAGGTAAAATGCGCTCCAAGTACGACTCAAACGGTTTTCTGCAAACTGGAACGAGCTCATTCAAGGTTGTCAGAGCTGCCTGCGCAACTTTGTGATGTGGATCGTCCAAGTGTGCAAAGAAGAGCTTCATAATCTTCTCAAAGCTCTGCGTTATTTCCTGTAGTCCCTTTATGCCGTTCTGAAGCAGATCCCTGATGAAAGTAAAAGCGCCAACCCGTGCCGACCAGTCGGCATTGGGACTAAGGCCTTCTCCAAGAACTTCGTGGAGTTGTATTGTGGACCCGTTACTGCTAAACGCTTCGTAGGACCCCTGCATAGTATCACCATGGCTTCTAGTGGCAGACGGCGACCTCCCCGAGCTGCTGTTTCTAAGAAGTGGTCTCTGGAATCCTGGAACTCCACCTTGGTTATCACCCCTTGGAGTCCGCTTACCTTCCCTGCTTTCAGTCATCAAGCTAGAGCTGCTCCAGTTGAATCTGTCCATGACTGATACCCTCGCATTAACCCGATCACTGTCTTGACTCAAACCGTTGTAGACCATGCCTCTTTTCGTGTCAGAAAGCATGCGTTGAGGAGATAACAAAGCTCCAGGTGCAGTACCGTAGAGATCGCCAGTGTAAGCGCTAGAAACTGTAGTACTGCCTCCCACGGCAGACGACGCTGAAGCCGGAAAAGGTGGATCACGAGAGGATGGTAAATCCACAGCCTTGGGGCTTGCTGTTGCGAAAAGAGGAACGTTATGCAGTACAAAGTAAAAGAAGCAAGATATCGTACCTTTGGCGGTAGCCTTAGATAGAGGACCTTTCACGTCAGATATATCAACGCCCCTCAGCATCGTCTCTATTGCGTTTACCCGCTGTTGGCTTGCTTGTAAAATGCTTTCTAAGCTTCTCTCTTGCTCGCTCGTTCTCGAATGAGCTCCACCCGACGAGAAACTCGCACGTCTGTCCATTGCGATAATAGGAACTGTCTGGGGAGTAACAGGGGTTGACTTTGAGACGACAGTCAATGAGGCCCTCAACGGGTTACCCCTGGTGCGCGATGCTGGAGACGAGTATCGTTTATGAAATCCTCTTTCTTCGTCGTTTATAAGCTTGTGAAACAAAATGAAAACGTCCATTTAGAAGAATAAACCATGTAAGTTACTTACACGCTGAATAGCCGGATCAAAAGAGAAGAAAAGTTTTTGGGATCGTTCAGGCCACGTCTTAGCAAAAAGTCGATAACATGATCTTGCCGTTGAGCGTACCTGGATACAACGAGTTTGATTCATTTGTTTCTTTCACATATTAGCGAAAGTTACCTCGCTCATAGCATCTACAACACAGCATTTGATAAGATCTTCATAAAGTTCGGCTGAACGTTGGATTTCTGGAGTATCCGGCCACTGTTCTAGTATCAAAAGAGCGTATTCACAACATCTAAGTAATATCACACATTGTTATCTTCATTATTTAGTTGAAAGAGCTAAACTGTACCTTGCTCTCAAGACACCACTGCGGTCATTTTTTGCAATATCAACAATTCGCGGAAGCATTCGCGAAACTCGACAATTACGCAGAATCTGTAAAAGCGAGTTATGAGAATTTGGACACGTAATTGCATGACACACCGTTTTTATACAATTATCGGCTGACTCGGCAATAACTTGAACAGTAATAACAACGAGCTTAAATAGCATCTGTTTGACAACGTGAAGATAAGTCAAAGAATAAAGAACATCAAAACCACGTACAGGTATGAAGGACTCTGCGCATGCCTCGAAATCAGATAATAATTCTCTAGACAAAATATTCAAGAGATGGCAAGCCTGGAAGTTTTACATTCGGTCAGTAAGGCACAAAAGAAAAAAGTTCGGAACCAACCTGCTTGACGATACTAGAGCGCCGATCAGAAAGCTGGACATTTAGAGGGGGAGTTAATTGCTTCAGCAAGGAAGGGAAAGACTGGAAATCAGTAGCCCCTACAAATGTACAAAACGTTAAAACTTGTGCGAAGTAACCACAAGAAAACGTATGTACCTCCGTAGACAAGCCCTTCAACCCTTTGTAGTGCAGCCATTCTTACAGACCAATCCTGGTCCTGCGTCAACGTGGAACAGATCTTTTCCATCTCCCTCACTAGCTCCCTTTCTGAATACACTTTAATAGGATCCACGGGTTGTTCGGGAGAGTCGACCTCGCCTGCATTCATAGATATAACAGTTAAAATACGCGAGAGATGAAAAAGAATGCTTGCCTGAATATGACGGAACATCTAAAGGTGCGGGCTTTCCTCTCGGACTCTGCCTTTTAAAACTTCCAGAGGGACTAGTCATTGGTTTGTTGTTGTCTGCGCCACCTTGCCTGGCTAAGCTTTCGAAGGGACGAGACTTTGAATCCATCCTTTCAAGCTTCGAGATAATTTCTGTCATCTGCATCCAAAGTCAGCATCGCAGAAATTTCATCGATAGCGACAACACCTGTGCCGGCTGTATAGGCTGACGCTGGAGCTCGTCGCGAAACTGTGATCCAACCTGACGATGCATTTCCTGGCAAAACCTTCAGTTACACTCCATTATGCAGAAAAGAAACTGGCACCTCCAAACACAACATAGAAGCTTCCCTCACTGCGCTGTTGGGATCGCTCAACAATTGCAAGGCCTGCCAAAGATTGATACGAACATCAGGTGTAGCACAAAACAAAGTGCGCTTACGGAAGGAAGAATGAAGCGTTGCAATGTGATCTCCTTCGCCGAAAAGAGGCTCACGGCTGATGCCATTGTTCGCATAAACTCTTCTCGAACTCTCCAGTTTCTGTGAGTCCAAGCCGTGCTTCCCGCTCTCTCAACTATAATAGTTGGAGATGATATCTGCACGGAGTGAAGAAGCCATACATATCAGATCCACATTTCCAACGAAGCGAGAACAAGAAACTTGCCTCCATGAGTGCCAGTATAAGCCGATTAGCCGCATCACGGACCGGTTGTTTGGCATCCCCGAGGCACTCCACGATGGCCGGGACAAGAACGTTAAAGTGAACTTTAAGATGCTCGCCTGCTAGTGCTGACGCCGATGCAAGAACCTGGAGAGCCCCTTGGCAAACCCTGAAGTTGTTATCCGTGAGCAGTCCCCTGGTTGCATCCACTATGCTCCCTACTTCGCTAGCTGAAAGCCCTTTCCTACGCTGCTCAAGTAAAGTCTGGAGCATCTCCACTCCAGCCATCCTTTCCTTGGTGTCTTTTGCCTGCACCTGCGTAAGTGCTTCCTCCATGGCGAAGGGAACAACAATGCACGGAGCACCCAACACCGCATCTACCAAGCCCGGCCTTTTCCCATAATCCTCACATAGATCCAAATGCCTAGCTCTCTCCTATCCAGTCCTGAGTTTCACCTGAGATAAAAAAAATAAGCAGCGGCAGCATTTTAAACCTCCGGACAGCAGATCACTGTTCTTACCGAGGAGCCTCCAGTATGGATCCCGGATTTCCTGCTGCCTAACTTCACCTCAGGGAAAAATCTGCGAGCTCCAGAGCGTAGAGGGTCGCCGGTCCATGTCCTGCTCCAGGGATCCAAGCACAGTAGCAATGCAGATTAGAATGCTAGCGCAGTAAGGGAGAAGAGCCCACAAGGGACGCTCAAGGGCAACCCAAACAACGAGTGAGAGAGAAAGTAAGGTGAGGAAAAGAGATGTTACACCCTACAGCGAGGGGCCACCGCAGGAGTCGGTCGACAGCGACTGGCTCCTCCGTCAATAAAGCGATTGGAATAGAAACTATTCACACACTTAAAAAAAATCACACACAAACCCGACTCATACGCACATGACCTTCGACAGTAATATAGTATCGAATCCAAAGCAGTAAGGTAAGATTTGAGAAAGACTCAAAACGCTTCTCACGGCAAAGTACAGGACTGAAAATGAAGAAAAAAATAAACTCACAAATCGGAAAAACTGTTCTCTCGAAGAGGAAAAAAAAAATTCCTAAAGGATTGAGAATGAAAATGAAAGCTCACAGAATCGATCAGAGGAAAGACACTAGACTGGCAGGACACACTAATCTTGCTGGAGGGCTCAAAAGATAAAAAAGGAAGGAAAAGAGAGAACCTCGCTGGAGACTGAATGGTGAAAACGCACCCAAGAGTGTGTGCTAGAAAGAATGCCAGGGATAAAGCGTCACTGCCGATGCTCGATCGGCTGGATTGTTAAGGAAAGGAGTTAGTTTAGCGCGTAAACGATGGCAGGGACAATGACGCATCAAAGAAAATGCCAAGAACAAACAAAGAATGTGCAGGCAAGCGACAGACTTACATACGCAGCGGCCAAACAAATATTTCTTCTGCCTTGCAGCCGGATCGATCGACGAAGACTCGATCAAATCCTGGCGAGATTTCCAGCGAGAAAACCCGATTAGATTAGGGATAGCTAGATCGCTACGAACCTCTGAAGCCAGAGAAGAGAATGCGGCCCGCCGGATGGAACGCCGCTCATCAAAGATTCATGATCGCAGAAAGAAATGGTTGCCTGAATCATGAGCGGCCATAAATTTCCAAGCGCTCGCGCGATTAATGTCCATTACGATCCGGCGCAGCTCTTACCTAACAGAGAGGAGAAAGCGAGCGAGAAATCGAGCCGATCGCTCGCGGCAACCCACCGATTCAAGAAGAACAAAATCCCCGGGATTAGGGCTCCTCAAAAACCACTGAGGTTTACATGCCGTACATAGTCTATCCGTACGCAAGTACTTTTGGACCAGCCGTAGATCTGGCCAATAAGAATTTGAGCACCTGGCACATCATAATGTTGCTGCGGACATTTGCATTCATAGCGGAAGCAACCAAACCATAGAAAGAAAGAAAAATCTCTCTTTTATTGGAATTCTTTTGTTCTTCTTCTTCGTCCTTTAGCCAATACCATTCTTTGTGTCAAGAAACTTTCCATTGTCTCATCTCTTTCCTCTCCAAACCCGGATAGCCGATTGAATCGATCGCTCTGGAACTCCAAAGTTATTTCGTAGCCGAAGGAGACCCTGTACAAAACTTTCCTTGGTTTGCGCTCGATCGATCGAGCACTCACGACTTGGAGTGCTCGGACGAGCTCATATCTCCCCATCTTACGTTATACTTGGCCGCTAAGTAATGAGCTCCCACCGGGCCCCGGCTCCCATAAGGATAGAGCTCCGGGGAGATCTTCCTCTCCTCAAGCTCTTTGAGGAGTGGAGTGAAGATGGCCCATGCTGCGTCGAGCTCATCACTGCGTATGAAAAGCCTGCGCTCACCTTCAATGGCGTCGAGCAGCAGTCTCTCGTACGCGTCTGGGATCTCTCGCGAGTACCTGTGGAAGAATGCATTGGTGAGAGAGAGATCGAAATCTATATCACCTGTCCGAGTAAAGCAAGTTGAGATTGCTTCGGTCCAGCCGCATCCCCAAGCCGGGAACTTTGTTGTTGATCTTGAGGTACACTGCTTCGTCCGGCTGTACCCGGATTACAAGTTCGTTGGTGGCTTGATCGAGATCCATGCCAAAGCTTCTTTTGTAAAGGTTTCCAGGTACGTGCCTGAATTGTACCCTGATCTCCGCTCTGCAAGGCGAGATTTAAGTAGCAGTAAGCTCCAGATAATGCAAGCACGAGAGAGAGACCGAAAAGCATAAAGAAACATACAGCTTATTGTGCAAGGCCTTGCCAGCCTTCATGAGAAACGGTACGCCGTCCCACCGGGCATTGTCTACAAAAAGCGCCGCTGCTGCAAATGTTGGTGTGAGACTGTTATTCGGTACGGTCTTGTCGTCTGTGTAGCCAGGATAGTGCACGCCTCCTTTGATGTGGCTCTTGTATTGACCAACAACAACATCTTCCAGCTGCAATTTCCTCATTGATCGCAACACCTTCACCTGCACGAACATGTTAGCACGCACTTCGACAGTACCTAGTAGCAATACCTTCTCGTTCCTAATGTCCTCGGCGTCTAAGCTAACAGGAGGCTCCATTGCAAACAAAGCTAAGATCTGAAGGAGGTGATTTTGCATGATATCACGGATAATACCATAGTTGTCGAAGTACCTAGGACATTTTCAAAACAGATTCAAATGGTTTTCACAAAACGAAAAGGACAAAGTAAATCTTTTCACGTACCCGCCTCTTCCTTCTGTTCCAAAGTCCTCGGAGAAAATAAGCTGCACATTTCTGATGTACTGCCTCGACCAGAGAGGTTCAAAAACAAGATTCGAGAATCTCAAAATTGACAAGTTCTCTACGAGCTCCTTGCCCAGGTAGTGATCAATTCTGAAATAGAAAGATGTTTGGACATAATCTACATCGACTGAGTTAGAGGTACCTGTATATCTGCTCTTCAGTGAGAAACTCTTTGAGCCCGCTAGTAAGCTCGCCAGACGACTCGGAATCCCGACCGAATGGTTTTTCGACAATCACACGAGTCCAACCTTTGGAGGACGATGCAGAGCGACTGGCACACCTTGCGACGTCAATGAAAACATTGGGTGGAACGGAGAGATAAAACATTCTGTTTGCGACTTTTCCACCCTGTACACAAAGTTCTTTAGCCATGAACAAGTAAACCACTGACATACCTCGTGATCTTTTAATTTCTTATCCAGCTCGGAGAAGTTGTCCTCCGAGTTATACTGCCCGGACTGATAGAAACAACGCTTTAAAAACTGATTAATCTTTTCACTGCAGTTCTCCCTGTAAAGATAGCTTACTAAGTTATGGCCGCTAAAGAGCTGTGATTACCTTTTATCAATCCTGCATGTCAAAGTAGCACTGATCATAGCTCTCAGCTCGGCATCGCTCATCTTGCTCCGAGCATATCCAAAAATCGTGAAGTGCTGAGAAACATTGGTCTTTCAGTCAGGTGGAAAAGAAACCACACACGGACAAACCTGTGGCAGGCACCCTTCGTAGAAAAGCGCAAACAGGGCGGGGAAAATTTTCTTCTTGGCTAGATCACCGGAGGCACCGACAACAGTGATGCTCACTGTTGATCCTTGCTCTGGAACACCTTGTATCGCTCCATCGCCGCTGGAAACCTCCTTTGGGGCCTCGATCGAAGGAATTGAAGGGATCGGTACGCGCTTGGCCTCGAGAACCGCGCATGCCATGCGATGCTTGCTCCCGGAGCTGAAAATCACCTCGCGAAACGAATTCCTGCGGCCGATTACCGCTGCGGAGCGGCACGATCCCGATCCGGACGAGAATGTAGCAGCAGCTTGCCCACAGAAATAAGAGGCGGCGCCGGCGCCCGCCATCGCCATTGGAGCTTCTAGCTAGAACCCTAGACGAAAAATGGGGGAGAGGTCCTCACAGGTAATATATACCCAGGACAAACCACGAGAGAATATTCGTTGCCAACGCTCACATGCTTTCTTCGTAGAGAACGAAGGCTTCCATTCCAATGTGATGGCCTTCTCTTGGCGCCAAGGGGCCAGGGATGTGTCTGTCGGCCTGGATTCACGGAGGAGTCAATCGGACGACTGGCCCTTTGTATCAACTAAAGATCGAGGAGGAGTGATAATTTTCTCTCTTGGCCGTGATACTTTCCAATTCTTTCGTGTAGCGAGGCCCATGGACATGCATTTTATTATTAGATTGAAATTTGATTCCACTGTGCCAAACAAATTTCTCAAACTTCAACACGATACACGTTAAACCAACTGTATATAGTCGGCTGGGTAAATAAAACCAAGATTTGTGTCGGATCTTCAGGGCATCGGCCGAGGGGGACCTGGATATTTTGTTAGCTCGCTACTCTAGATAGTAAAACGACATTTATAGGTCATTGTTGGATTATTAAGCCAGTGGGGGGCTAATGAAGGGTTTGCTGTTTTGGATCAATTTTGTTTTCTCTTGATCTCTCTGCCCATATAATGATATTGGCTTTCATAAGAGCAAGTCAATGCTCAAATGGTTAGATGCCTAATGTGTATCATTTGATCACTAATAAAACTTAAACTTAAATTTATTTTGTTAATTATTTCCAATCAACATGCTCCACTGAAAGGGCTTGATTAGTGATCACATTCTCTTGAGTGTGGCTCAAGAGTGGAGATTGTAGATTGTGCTATTTGTCTCTTGCATTGCCAGCCGCCAACATTGGAATCACTGTTCTCCAGTGACAAGAACAATGTTGTTATAAACACCTATACCAAGTCAGCAACCTCCAACAATAGCTCTACAAACCCTTACTCACATTTCAAACCTGTTGTTGGCATCTATTATTTTCTTTAGATACCCCACACTAGTTGAGATTGCCTCTAAAACGAATGTGCAGCCTTGTTTTGGGTGGTGGAGTCTATTAAATGAATGCTTCTCCAATTTCCTCATATATAATGGACCAAGAGTGTAAAATTATCAACATCTAGGGGAACAGATTGATCTTGGCTAAGATTTGTGGAGGGATCTTGCCTGAGAGGGCATTGTTGTTGAGATCATGCTCCAGCGCTAGAAGCGCTGCATGGTGGATTCTGCCTTGTTATTCCAGTGAGACCAACACTATTAGTCCTGATGTGCACTAGATGAGGACATAGTGGTAATCTCCATGCTCAAGCTTGCAGCATTCACATAGATGGAAGGGATATGGAAGTGGCTGTGCAGGCTGAGGAGATAAGAGGTAGTAAGGTTTCCATTGGCCATTCAACTCTAACTAACTTCTGCTGATGAAATAAACTCCTATACTTGTTATCTTTAACGTTCATATTTATATATTTCAGAATTATACTTGAAATAATTTTATATTGATATATTAAGAAGGTTATGTTGATTGCATGGAAATGATTCAAGATTCTTGCCAAAATCTGCCATATGACATGATAGACTAATCTCCCTAACCAAAAGTCACTTATTATTGTCATTCACAATTTGAAATTTATATGTGTGAATTATATTTTATGGTCACTATCAAATTTTGGATGCTAACAATTTTTTATGGCTACATTTATAGTATGACACCTATGATCTAAGTAAATGAATAGAATGGTAATTGAGGAGAATTTTTGTTTTTATTTTTTATAGAAAACAATATTTTACAAAAACTACTCTCTGAATTTATTTTTAGCTACTCTTAATGATGCCTAGTAGGAAGAATTAGTTTATAATAAATTTTTTGATCAACCATGGATTTTTATTGAACTATCAAAACAATATAGTTTCATTCTCTTTATTCAAATCTTTATAGTATTATGGAGTTGTTTTAAGTTTTATAAATCATGCATTTTTCACATTTAAAAACTAAATTATCTTTTACACTAATAAATACTAATTTTATACTTATATAAAGCATGTTATTGCATACTAGAGTGTGGAGTATTCACGGACAAAAGTATCCACTGTGGAACTACAGTATGAGTGGATGATTAGTTGCCCAATGTCCTCTTTGAAGGGGGGTGAGTGTGGAGTATCCACGGACAAAAGTATCCACTGTGGGACTATGGTACGAGTGGATGACTAGTTGCCTCACATGGGGGTGAGTGTGAAGTATCCACGAATGAAGGTATCTACCATAAGATTACAGTACGGGTGGATGATTAGTTGCCTTACATGGAATAGCTAATCTATACAATGGAAGGATTGGTAAATTTAGTGTGGAAATGGAAGTGCTGATTCCCCTTAGTTCAGTAGGGGTTCTGAGTCAATAGTCAATAAGGACATTGACATCTCTAAAGGGGGGAAGGGTGAATGTGGAGTATCCACGGACGAAGGTATCCACTGTAGGACTACGGTACGGGTGGATGATTAGTTGCCTCACATGAAATAACTGACCTACATAATGGAAGGATTGGTAAATTTAGTGCAGAAATGGAGGTGTTAATTCCCTTTAACTCAGTAGGTGGTTTTGAGTCAATAGTCAATGTGGACATTGACATCTCTGAAAGGGGTGAGTGTAATGTATGTGATCATGGGATGAGATTTGGATATACTGTCACCATGAATCTTTGGAACCTTGGGGGATAAACGAGGATAAAATAACCACTAAGAGCTCTTTTATTAAACAATTGCCCCTTTTTCAGTTGGCTTAAGGGGAGAGAAATAGGGTGCGCTACATGATGATAATTTCCTATATCTGCCAAACACTCTCATTATCATACCCTTTGTGTTAGTCTCATTTTGGTCCTAAATGCTATTTATGGAAAGTGTCTAGATTTGCTCATTTAGCATATTCATAGAAAGTAGAGATTGTCCTAAATACAATAGTGTTCGTCTCATATCTAAATTGGCAATCTAGGGACATTCCATATTTAATAAATTTCAAATTTATTCCAAATGTATAGAGGGTTCCAAATGTATAATAGGGATAGTGAATAGGTTAAGTATGGCTGACCAACTTAAGGCCTAGTTTAACTCCTGTTTGCGTGTTTGTCTTTGTTATGCATCTGGCTTGGGTCTAAACCTAAGTTCCATACCATGCTAATTGATGAAGTACCCATATATTCATGTTAAGCCATTGGCCATCTTTACATTCTATAAATATACTTCACTAGCAAATCTAGACACTTTTCATAAATAACCAATAAGACCAAATAAAACTAACACATGAAACATAATAGCAAAAGTGTTTTAACGAATACAATAAGTATTTAAGGACTAAATTCAAGGGTTTTCAATACTAACAAGTGCAAGTCAAGAACATGAATTTTTCTTCACCATATCAAATATGTTTAACTAAATGACATTTAAGGATTTCTATCTTTGGTGCCCTTTTGGTTTAAGTGCACATATGTTAATTAATTTCTTAACTAGCTTAGGCAAAAATTGATAAAGGGTTCAACAATACTGATATCTTGCCATCATGGTACTAAGGAAAAAACATCTGAAAGGACTCATTAATAAGTAATTTTTGATATTTATAATCACATTTGTAACACTTTAATATTAAATAGAAAGACAAAGTTCAACTCTAAAGCTTATAGATAAAGAGTGAAGGGACAAAATCATAAACATCATTAAAACACTCCTAAATTATTTAAAATTCCAACATACTATGATATTATTTCAGTATATAAGCAGCCTAACATAAGGTATTTTTCTAACTAATATAATATAGAGCTTGGGATATCTAATAAGCAATGATCTAGGTCGCTTAATTAACAAAAAATACTTAGATGTTAAGCCTAACACTTAAATAAAAGAGACTAATAAAAGGAATCAACAGTACTACACAAGATAAGAATGTCTAAAATAGTAACTTTGCACGTGATGATTGCAACATATGCTCTTGGTAGTGAGAAGTGGCATAAAGCTACATGCAAAGCTGAGTTTCGGAGCTCGGTGCTCGTCAGTTTTCCAGTCTACAGTTTACTCACAGTTGATATGGACAAAGAAATGGCTACTACTCTTCATTCTTCATTTTCCACTCGAAAACCACTTTGTGAAGGATTTCCCAAGACATATGGTACGAAGTGCATTGGCTCGGTGCAAGGCAGCTCTAGAGGAACTAGTGGAACGCACTCCTCTCGAAGGCAATGAAGACCCTGTTCTCAAGAGAGGAAACTCACACGGTTATCTGGTGTGACTGGCACTATTGCATGGCGCTCGTTTTGGAGCTGGTTAAATGCAACCGCAAGGTGCCGGACTTCCTCTTGGGGTGATGAGAGCTCTGGTTGGAAAATTCGGGGTCAGACTTAACAAGGCTGGAAAAATCAGTGGGAGCTGCAATGTGCATGAACCACCGGTGGCATTTCTTGTATGTGCACGGGGACGAGGAGTGTGAGGAGAAAGAAAGGCAGGAAGTAGCAGTAGCAGTGGCAGTCGAAGCAGGAAAGGATTGTGTAGTGTGTTTATGCCCCAAGTACAAGCTCCTTTTTGGCGGGACCCTCGATCGGGTCCATCGATTCCATGATCGAGTGCCGTCCTCAAGGTCAAGGCAAGCGGATCCAATTTCTTAATCGGTCATTCTGCGTCAAGAACACTAAAGTCACCCAGCATCAAGAACACTAAATTCACCCAGCATCCACGTTGTTAACCCAGCTTGGCGCAAGTCGATCTGGCATGTGATTGCTTCAGCGGTGTGGTCAGATGGTGCTTCTGCAGAGGAGATGCAAGCTAAATTCAATGCCATAACTGAGACCACGGATATGTTCAGAGCTGTAGCACCTGATACGGGAGCATATGTCAACAAAGCCGATGTTAACGAACCCAACTGGCAGGCATCCTTCTTCGGCAGCAACTACAAGCGCCTTCTGCAGATGAAGATGATTATCGATCCGGAGCATCAGCTTGCTTGCCATCACTGTGTGGGAAGTGAAGTCTGGAACGACGACTTCACCTACAGAACTGGATAGAATCAGCTTCTTGGGTGCTCAATCCATTTTGATGTGCTGGAAAATTCACCTGATCATCCTGAATTGCTTGGAAAATGACACATTCGCATTCATTGGTTGGGCACACCGCACTAATCTCCTCATAAGCGGCTCTACACACGGACGAACTGTCATCTGCAGCGTAGTGAAATATCGAAAGCAGCGCTTGGCGCATTCCAGCATTGAAACTGAGCCAATCCCAACATCCCTAATACTGTCCTAAACAATCAAAGCCCTAAAACCAGAGTGGTTCATAAAGTTGACTTATGTGAGCAGAATCTAAAATTTTTTCACGACTCCAATAGTCATCCAGTAATTACAATGCTCGATCCTCATCGAGCGCCTAAGCTTGTGTCCGACTGTGGCCAATACCCTCCTGCAGATGTAGAGCCTGTCACGCTGAGAAGATCAGCATACTGGATGCGAGCTTCGTTCCTGGTTGAGAAGGGAAGGCCATCCAGGGGAATGTCCTCCACTGGGCTGGAGCCTTCCAGCATCTGCACAACCTTCCCCATCGATGGCCTTGAGCTCCCGTTCTCTTGCAGACACTGGAACGCAATCCTGATAACTGCTCGCACGACTGCTTCGTCACACTCGCCTTTCAGCCGCGGATCGACCAGCTCCATATCCTTCTCTTGTGTCACCAATTCCAATGCGTAAGCCGGGAGGTAAAACGTTTCTGTCTCAGAAACTCGAGAGAAGTTCCTTCGTCCGCTAATCACCTCCAGCAGCACGACTCCAAAGCTGTAAACGTCGCTCTTTTCTGTTATAGCAGCCTCCCGTAGCCACTCTGGTGCAAGGTACCCTGGAGTACCTCTCATAGTTGTCATAACGTAACTTTGATCGCGAGACATGAGCCTGGAGAGACCGAAGTCCCCCACTTTCGCGACGAAGTCCTCGTTCAGCAAGATATTCTGAGGCTTTATGTCGAGGTGGATAATCTTCTGTACGCATTCCTCGTGCAGATATGCCAGACCATTGGCCATCCCCAGCACAATTTCCATCCTCTGTTCCCAGTTCAGCACCTTCTGCTCGACGCGATCTTGAAAGATCCACTTGTCCAGGGAACCATTCTCCATGTGTTCATAGACCAGAAGCCTGTTTAGACCCTCTGAGCAGAAGCCAAGCAGTTTTACCAGATTCCAGTGATGAATTGTCCCTAGGATGACAACTTCCGCATAAAATTCCTTCTTCCCCTGTCCTGTCCTTTCCAGTTTCTTCACAGCAACTTTTCTACCATCCGGGAGTACACCTTCGTACACACCACCAAAACCACCGCTACCTAGAACTTTCGAGAAGTTATCTGTGATGCGTTCCAGATGCAAAAGGCCGAACCGTATCGGCCTCAAGTTCTCTATGGATTCAAGAAAGGTGTCGGTGTCATATTCAACAACCTGAATCTGTCTCCTCTTCTTGATGAAGAATATCACCACTAAAACACATACCAGCATCAGGAACAAGCCGCCAACCACTGTTCCAGCAGTAGCACCAGCTGACAGACCGGAACTGCCTTGTTCCACTTTTGTTGCCTTGATGTACGCAACATGACTTTGATCGGTAACTGTCTGGAGAGTGTTGACATTATTGGTCATGAAGCACGAGCTAGACTCCTCCCAATAGAAGAAAGCTGAACAGGAGCAGTTCTGCAAGCACCGGCTCCTGCAATCCTCTAAACTTGTGACTGTAGAATTCAAGTACCTGCTGGAAAAATACTCTGCACCTGGGACCGGAAGAAAATCGAGAGATTGAACGTCTGTGCAAGAGTCAACCCGAGGAGCAGTGCATGTGCTGCTCCAAGCTGCTGTTGTCCCGTCTGGGTTTAAACATCCTACACAACCCCCGTTGGAACAAATCCCAAAAGGCTGGCACTTCTGAGGTAGCGAGCAGGAGGCATTGTCACTGAACAGCTGGTAAGGATCATCCCACTTATTCAAGGTCTCTAGAGTGTAAGCCCGCAAATTTCCATCAGGTTCAAGTCGTATAAAGGATTGATTCTGCACAGTGTTGGAACTCTTCAGCTGCAAAGGCTCTGTTGCATTTAAGCTGCACAAAGACTGAGACGTCACGTTGGCGGCAGCAGAAACGTTGGCCAGCAACAGGTTGAGGTTGAGATTCAATCCGTTTCCCTCCATAACTGCAGCAACCAGTGAATCACAGGTACGAAGTGCACCACTGAGTGTATCCTGTCCATAGTAGCTCCTGACCGAGTACGGTTCTTGGGAGCCCGAAACGTTGGAATACAGGACGAGTCCACCAGGTTCCATGACCAGCGAGTAAACTCCCAAAGATGAATTACTCAGGGTTGTTCGACTCTGCAGCTTCATTCCTGGTTCGAAAATCTGGCTCACCATGAGGGTGTCACTTGGATGATCAAAACTTTGCCACAAGATGGTGTTGTTGGATCTGACTACAAAATTACCTGTCTTCAGAATTTCAGCATGGGTAGCCCCTTTGTTGGCAGTATCAGTTGACCACACAAATCTTCCATCTGCGTCTCGGAGCACAAGATTCCCATCAGCTCCAAGGGTGAGACTGGCATTGAACCCAACTGGATCGTCTCGGTTGGCTTCCCAGATCAATCTACTTGTAGACTCCAGGGATGGATCCACATTCAGTGCCAACGCAAGCGTGTACCGACCCGGTGTAGAATTCGCAAAACCCAGATTGTACTGAACGAATCCAAAGAAGCCAGTCATATGGAAGGTAGCACCATAGATGTCTTGGTCCTCCAGCGTATCGATCCCAGGATTGTTGAAAAACACTAGAGGCTGGCTGCTGTTTATAGGGAATGCTGCTAGAAATGGTATGATCCCCAAACAACAATATACCAAAATACCTCGAACTCCCATCTTCATGATCCAAGGCGGCAGATCCAGGCTGCATCATCCTGATCGCTGTGCCTATGTCCAGACTTAAAGCCCTGAAATCCTGCCGCTCCTTCATTTCAACAATATGGCACGTGGAACCCGCAATGTCCAGAATGCCGGCTTGACTGCATCGCACGTTGTCAAGAGCGGAAGCTTCTCCTGAGCAGCTAAGCCTGCGTTCCGTTCCAACCGTCCGATTCTTCCAGGTCAAACTCCAACCTCAGCCGTCGATGCATTTCAGGACCAGGGTCAAAGATATGGTGCGAGGGGAATCCTGACATCATCGATTCCGGTACTGCACTGCGCCATAAGAGTCCCTTTTTGGCGGGACTCTCGATCGGGTCCATCGATTCCATGATCGAGTGCCGGGATCCAATTTCTTAATCGGTCATTCTGCTGGGCCATTCTTGCTGATTCTGCTCCTTCGCAAAACCAAACTCGGATGATTCAGGAACAGACAAGAACCACAACAGCTTTCAATCAATCTGGTCACAGGCTTTTGACTTCATGTTTCGGTGCTCGAACCGCAAAAAAACAAAAGAGGAACGAACAGATCATCAACATGCAATGCTCTGCTTTCTGAGTGAATTTTTAAATAAATAAATAAATTGTTTCGATCCAGTGCGTTTCGCCCGCATCACTGCTCCTGCTTGCTTCAATCTCCGAGTGCCAGCAACAGGAAAAAGGCGACGAAGTCTCACTCTCAAAAAGTCGGTCCTTCCAGCAGCAGATTCTGATCCTCTGAGCAATAGGACAACGTTGCATCCCCTTGCCAATTCACTGGCGTTTCATGCACCGGCAACCAATCTGTCCCTGTCCGGATTGGAGCTACCTGGAATCTGGATCGATCTCTGCAAGCCTCACCCTGCTGCGCCATCTCGATCAGCAACAATCGGACATTCCAGGCGAATGGAGCTTGCGGGGCGTGACTCACCTCGACTTGAGTTCCAACGGCATTACGGGGAGCAGTCCGGCGCTCGTTGGGCAGCTGATCAATCTGGAGGAGCTCAATCTGGGGAGGAGTTCGTTTTCGGGTAAGCTCCCACCTGAAGATGTGTTTTTGAAGCTGCCCAAGCTCACCAAGGAGGGAATAGCATCTCAGGTGCCATTCCCGCAACATGATGGGTCAAAATTCGATCGATCTCGCGAGCTGAGTCGGATCAATGATATCAATGGGCGATTTCGTCGGCTGAGCTCCTGCTGTGGTGATGGTGCTGCTTGACCCATGAGCCACTGGAGCGTTTTTCTGGCGATCGAGATTCGAGACGGTCGACAGGCCGCGGAGTTTCATCTCGGCGTTGGTGCTGCAGACCGAGGCCTGATCCCACTGCGGCGGCTGCTGCGGGTTACCTCCCGCAGCATCCACGACGCTACCGCTGCTGCTGCCGCGCCACCACCATACCGCCGGCTGCTCCTCGTCGCCGACTCGCCGTGCGTCAACTCGCTGAGGATTCGTGTGCACACCCGCTTAGCCTATTTACCGGTCAGACAAAGAATTGGTTCCAAAAAATGTAATTATAACGCCCGATGCTCATCGAGCGCTCAAGCTTGAGCCCGACTGTGGGCAGTAAGATGCACTTGTAGAGCCTGTCCCGAGAAAATCAACATGCAGGATGCGAGCTTCGTTCCTGGTTGAGAAGGGAAGGCCATCCAGGGGAATGTCCTCCACTGGGCTGGAACCTTCCAGCATCTGCACAACCTTCCCCATCGATGGCCTTGAGTTCCCGTTCTCTTGCAGACACTGGAACGCAATCCTGATAACTGCCCGCACGATTGCTTCATCACACTTGCCTTTCAACCGCGTATCGACCAGCTCCATTTCCTTCTCTTGTGTCACCAGCTCCAATGCGTAAGCCGGGAGGTAAAACTTTTCTCCCTCAGAAAGTCGAGAGAAGTTCCTCCGCCCGCTAATCACCTCCAGCAGCACGACTCCAAAGCTGTAAACGTCGCTCTTCTCTGTTATAGCAGCCTCCAGTAGCCACTCTGGTGCAAGGTAGCCTGGAGTACCTCTCATTGTTGTCATAACGTAACTCTGATCGCGAGACATGAGCCTGGAGAGACCGAAGTCCGCCACTTTCGCGACCAAGTCCTCGTTCAGCAAGATATTCTGAGGCTTTATGTCGAGGTGGATAATCTTCTCTACGCATTCCTCATGCAAATATGCCAGACCCCTGGCCATCCCCAGCATAATTTCCATCCTCTGTTCCCAGTTCAGCACCCTCTCTTCGAGGAAATCCTGGTAGATCCACTTGTCCAGGGAACCATTCTCCATGTGTTCATAAACCAGAAGCCTGTTTAGACCCTCTGAGCAGAAACCAAGCAGTTTTACCAGATTCCAGTGATGAATTGTCCCTAGAACGGCAACTTCCGCATAGAATTCCTTCTTCCCCTGTCCTGTACTTTCCAGTTTCTTCACAGCAACTTTCCTACCATCTGGGAGTACACCTTCGTACACACCACCAAAACCACCGGTACCTAGGACTTTCGAGAAGTTATCTGTGATGCGTTCCAGATCCGAAAGGGTGAATCGTATCGGCCTCAAGTTCTCTATGGATTCAAGAAAGGTGTCACTGTCATATTCAACAGCCTGAATCTGTCTCCTCTTCTTGATGAAGAATATCACCGCTAAAATACATACCAGCATCAGGAACAAGCCGCCAACCACTGTTCCAGCAATAGCACCAGCTGAGAGACCGGTGACACCCGGCTGAGGAGTACCACTGCCTTGTTCAACTTTTGTTGCCTTGATGTATGCAACATGACTTTGATTGGAAACTGTCTGGAGAGTGTTGACATTATTGGTCATGAAGCACGAGCTAGACTCGTTCCAATAGAAGAAAGCTGAACAGGAGCAATTCTGCAAGCACCCGCTCCTGCAATCCTCAAAACTTGTGACTGAAGAATTCAAGTATCTGCTGGAAAAATACTCTGCACCTGGGACCGGAAGAAAATCTAGAGACTGAACATCTGTGCAATTGTCAACCCGAGGAGCAGTGCATGTGTTGCTCCAAGCTGCTTCTGTCCTGTCTGGGTTTAAACATCCTACACAAGCCCCGTTGGAACAAATCCCAAAAGGCTGGCACTTCTGAGGTAGCCAGCAGGAGTCGACGTCATCGAACAGCTGGTAAGGATCCTCCCACAGATACATGGACCCTAGCGTGTAAGCCCGCAGATTTCCGTCAGGTTCAAGTCGTATCAAGGATTGATTCTGCCAAGTGTTGGAATTCTTCAACTGCAAAGGCTCTGTTGCATTTAAGCTGCACAAAGTCTGGGACTTCAGGTTGGCAGCCGCAGAACCGTTGGTCTTAAGGTCGAGAAACAGTCGAGGTCCGTCTCCCTCAAGAACTGCAGCAACCAGTGAATCACAGGTACGAAGTGCACCACTGAGTGTATCCTGTCCGTAGTAGCTCTTGACCCAGTATGGTTCTTGAGAGCCTGAAAAGTTGGAATACAGGACCAGTCCACCAGGTTCCATGACCAGCGAGTAAACTCCCAAAGATGAATTACTCAGGGTTGTTCGACTCTGCAGCTTCATTCCTGGTTCGAAAATCTGGCTCACCATGAGGGTGTCACTTGGATGATCAAAACTTTGCCACAAGATGGTGTTGTTGGATCTGACTACAAAATTACCTGTCTTCAGAATTTCAGCATGGGTAGCCCCTTTGTTGGCAGTATCAGTTGACCACACAAATCTTCCATCTGCGTCTCGGAGCACAAGATTCCCATCAGCTCCAAGGGTGAGACTGGCATTGAACCCAACTGGATCCTCTCGGTTGGCTTCCCAGATCAATCTACTCGTATACGAAGGCCCTGAATACTTATTCGGAGGACTCCCTAAATCCGCATTCAGTACCAAAGCAAGCGTGTACCGACCCGGTGTAGAATTCGCAAAACCCAGATTGTACAGACCGCGGTCTGATTCAAAGAAGCCAGTCCTGTAAAAGGTAGCATCATATATGTCTTGCTTCTCCAGTGGAGCGCCGAACTGTCCAAGATCATTGTTGATATACACTAGAGGCTGGCTTGTAGGGACGTCCACTGATGCTGCTAGAAATGGTATGATCGCCAAACAACAGTATACCAAAATACCTCGAACTCGCATCTTCATCTTCATGATCCGAGGCGCTTGCTGTGCCTGAAATCCTGCCGCTCCTTCATTTCAACAGTGCAATAATTCCGGCTTTACAGTTGTCATCGCACCTTGTAAAGCAAGAACCTTGATCATGACTCAGGAGAAGCTAGGTTATTGACCTGGGGGAATCGCTTAGTGCTCAGGAGTTGTACTAACCCCGCGTTCATTTGCGCGTGGAACCGGCAATATCCAGAATGCCGGCTTGACTGCATCGCACCTTGTAAAAAGAATTCCACCTTGACCGCGGAAAGCAGCTCCAATAACCCTAAGCCCGACCGTCCGATTCCCCCATATCAAACTCCAACATCGTCATGCATTTCAGCGCCAGCCCG